AAAGAATGGGCCAATGTGTGAAAGAGTATGAATGTGTAAGTTCAAGACTGCTATGGATACGAATGAAAGTGGGCTTAAAGAAGTTGTTTGTGTTAGGGGTCTACGCCCCAGACATGCCTAAGCCCACTTATATCCGAGAGCAGTTTTGGGAAATGGTAAGGATGGTGTTAATGAAATGTAAGGGAAATGAAAATATTGGAGGCTTGGGTATGAAAGGATATTGGGAACATTTGGTGATGAAAGTATAAATGAGAATGGTGAACGTCTCCTCACCGTATGTATGGAAAAGAATCTTTTTGTGACGAACACTTGCTTTCACCACAAGAGGATTCAAATGTATACTTAGGAAAGAGGTGGCGATAGAAGCACGATAGATTTCATAATTGTGGATGAAAGATTGAGGGGCGCAGTGGTAGATACAAGGGTTTACCGGGGTTCTAGCATAGGAACGGATCATTATTTGGTTTTATGCCGAATTAATGGTCTATTCAGGCGTTGGCGCCATCGTTCATCTGTGTCTATCACTGCGTTACAGCGTATTAGAACAGAAAGGTTACAATATGAAGGTGAGAAAAACAAGGTCAAATGTAGACTGAAAGGAAATATAAGTGGTTTGGATGAATTATGTATGAACGAGTTAGACTTAGAGAATGTATGGCAAAATGTTAAGAAAGGTTTAGTGGATGCAGCAAACGCAGTATGTGGTGTTAGTAAGAGAAAGAATAAAAGGAAAAATAATACGTTGTGGTGGGATGATGAGATACGTATGAAAGTTGAAGCAAAGAAGAGAGCATGGCTAGACTTACTAGCAACAAAGGCTGGAGTTTAAACGTCTAAATAAGAGAGTAAAAGAAGTAGTTGAAAGGAAAAAGCAAGAAAGAACGGATAACAATGATAGAAGAATATCGGATAACTTCCAGGCAAATATAAAAATGTTCTCGAAACTTGTAAGAACTGCCAGGGGACATTCAAAACAGCCTATAATGAATGCTATAAGAGACGAGAATGGCTATATTCTGAATGATGAAGTTTTGAGTTTAAAGAGATGGAAGGAATATTTTGAAAGCGTGTTTATGAGTGAGGAGACAAAGTGTAAACTAAATGAAGTAGAAACTCCGAAAGAAGAGGAAATAGGTAGCGAGATAAGTATAGATGAGATAATGAAAGCAATGAAAAGCATGAAAGCAGGTAAGGCTGCCGGATACGATAGAGTTTCACTCGAAATGGTAAGTGTTGGAGAGGAAATAGTTGCAGGCCTGCTGCACACCTTGTTTAATTTATGCTGGGAACTGAAGCGGGTACCGGTAGACTGTACAGTACCTGTAAAGTGTAGTAACTGTAAAGCCGTGATAGTCCCATTATATAAAGGAAAAGGGTCGCAACAGGACTGTAAAAACTACCGTGGCATCAGCCTTCTTAGCATTGTGGGAAAACTCTATGCTAAGGTACTGATTGAAAGGGTCATTAAAGAAACTGATGGAAAAATTTGGGATGTGCAAGCGGGATTTAGAAAGGGAATGGGATGTACAGATCAAGTCTTTTCCATGCGCATGATCGCGGAGAAGTTTTTGGCCAAAAACCAAAAAGTTTTTTGTGCGTTCATGGACTTAGAAAAGGTCTATGATAGAGTGGATAGGGATGTGCTATAGCAAACACTGAACTCATTTTAGTTGAGCGCTGACTTGATACAGGCATTGGAGTCTCTTTATAGGGACTCTAGTGCTTGTGTTAGGATCAACGGAGTTTACTCGTACTGGTTTGACATCCATAAAGGTGTCAGACAGTGCTGTGTGACTTACCCGTGGCTATTCAACCTATTTATGGACAGCTGTTTGCAAAATTTGAAAGTTGAAGAATGCGGATTAAGAATGGTTGAGTTAACCGTCAAATGCCTTTTGTACGCCGATGATCAAGTTATTCTTGCGTCGTCGGATGCCGAGTTGCAATTAATGGTTACATTAATGAACAGATCATTAAAAGAAAGGGGTATGAAAGTAAACGCAAGTAAGACGAAGGTTATGGTTTTTAAAAGAGAAGAAAGTAAAACGATTTGTAAAATAAGAATAGAAGGGGGAGTTGATCGAGCAAGTAGATGAGTTTGTATATTTGGGTTGCGTATTTAGCAGGGATGGGAGATATGATAAGGATATAGAACGACGAGTGAATGCGGGAAATAGAGTAAATGGGGCTCTGCACTCTATTGTGTAGAGTCAAAATGTGTCGAAAAAGGCACGTATGGCAATTCACAATGGTGTTTTGGTCCCTACTTTAACGTATGGTAGTGAAAGTTGGGTGTGGCAGAAGAAGCACGAGAGTAGGATGAACGCAGTAGAAATGCGGTCGTTAAGAAGTATGTTAGGGCTGAATCTGAATGACAGGGTGAGAAATTGTGTGATAAGAGAAGAGTGTGGTTTGCAAGATGATGCTGTGACCAGTATTAAGAAAGGAATGTTTCGGTGGTTTGGTCATGTGGGAAGAATGAATGAGGAAAGAGTGACAAAGAATATTTTATGTTGCAGAAGTGACTGGCAGAGTCGGAAAGGGACGTCCTAGGCGAAAATTTATCGACCAAATTGGCGATTTATTGAAAACGGGCCAAATTAGGAGTACCCTTAACCAACGAGCATGTATGCGTAGGTATATGGATGTGAAGGAAGCGAGAGAGGTGTGTCAGGATCGTGCCAAATGGAAGTCTGTAGTCTCTGCCTACCCCTCTGGGTGACAGGCGTGAGTGTTTATGTTTATGTTATTATAAATGAAAAACTCATGACAAGGAAAGTGGCTCAGGACCATGCTTTGCGGCAGTCTGTGGAGGAGGATGTTCAGTAGTGGACTTGTGAAGGACTGTAATGATGATGATGATTAGAAAACTTGCCCAATTATATGTATTATAAGAAATTGACGTTTTTTCGACAAATGAGCACACAGCCCACCTGATGGTAAGTGGTTGCTGTGGCCCACAGACATCTACATCTATCCTCTATTACGAATCAAAATGCAGATACGTTGTCACCCGCGATACGTAGTACTATTATTTATTCTGTGCCCGTGAGGACTAAGATGAAATGCCTCGTTTCTTTTAAAAAGGGTCTCTGGTTCTTTACACTCACTATATGAAACACAGCATTATTAAACCACTATTTTACACTGATATTCTGTGACAGCTTGGTCCTTCCCCGGTCGTGCCGACCCATTCGTGCTACAACTATGCTTCTAATATAACTGCATGGTTCTACCACGTATGTTTATACGTGGTAGAACAACGTGCTTAATTTTTTTTTCATTTCAAAATTTTTCCCGTAATGATATGATTGGAAATAAATGTTCATTATTTTTTTTGATATATAGCTTATCGAATAAATCAAATGTATAAAAATAATTAAATTGCGCTAATTAAAGTAGTAGGAATGTTTAAAGTTGAAATTGGCACTAAAAGGCTGGTAATTGGGGCATCCACCCTACAAAGCGTGAATATATAATTTAAATCAGATGCGTGTAATCACTCTGGGAGCTTGTAGAAAACTAAACGCGCGCCCAACGGACGCGGCGACCAAACTCTGCCAACAATCCTTTGATCTTTTGTAAAAAAACCGACAACACACGGATCTCACGCCAACTTGTGGGCCATCGTTCCAATACATACCAATGAAGCCTAAACTCCCGCTCTACAAGTTGGCCAATGCTATTGGCCACTACATTCGCCACGGTGTTGGCCAACGTGTAGAGGCGCCGTAAAAAGAAAATATTATTTACGTTCACATTCTAAAAACACATTTATTATGCCGGCGCCACACATTGGATTCAAATTGGGTCCATACTTGGCTTCGAATTTATGGCTAATTATTGTATCCAAGTTAATGCGGCCACACATTAACTCCAATACATTTTGGCAAACTTACTACCCAAGAGCATTGGATGGTTGGACCGCATCTCAACTCGTCATTCTCTTGCGAGTGTGTACCAGCAGCAGTCATGGCGGACGAGAACCTACTTGCTCTGGCTACTTATGCCTATGCATTAAGCACATATTATTATTACTTGGTCAATCAAGCTGCAGTTACAAAAAGGAAACCAAAGAAAAGACGATTCTGGATGATAAAAATGCACGCTGATCGAACAAAGTAGTCATTGATTTAGGTACTTAAACTTAAAACTAGCTGTTTCCCGCAACTTTCGTCCACGTTTCCAGGATAAAAACTATCCTATGTTAATCCTTGGGCTTCAACTATCTCCGTACCAAATTTCATCAAAATCGATCCAGTAGTTTTGGAGTTTATTCGTTACATACATACTAACTTTTCCTTTTTATAATATTAGTGTGGATGTAGATATTTGTTAATACCATGCATTTAGAAATTATGTACAGCTACAAGAATTTAAAAAATTGATTGTATACTTTTGTTTATTTCAGAAACGACGAAGGAAGGAATTTATTAGCGAACTTGATACACAAACCTTCAGGACATTTTGATAATTTCTGTCGGATGTCGTCTTCCGATTTTGAATTTCTGCTTCAGAAAATTGGACCAGCAATTGCAAAGAAAAGTACACGTTGGAGACACGCTACAATTAAAGTTCGCTTAGCAGTAACGTTAAGGTTTCTGGCCACAGGCGATACATATAGATCTCTCCATATTCTATTTGGGTGCTCTAAATCAAGAAATGGCTAAGTTCACTTTTTTAGCTTTTAGGAATATAAAAAAAATATATTTAATTTTTTTGAAATTAACCACAGGACTTATTGAAATTAAAATAACATACTGTTATAGTACACAAAATACTCTTTACTTTAGTACATAAAATAAAACATAAAAAGCATTTATAATAACTTTAATTTAAGAAAAAAATTTGGACTTATCTTAAATCAACAGGACTTAAGGTTATCTTTCCCTCTTTTTTAAGGACTAAGGAATTTAACAAAACAAAATTGGCTTCTTTAACAGTATTCTATTAATCAAAAATGAGTAATACCTATTAGCCTTTAAAAATAACTAGGCTAGTTACTCTATTTCGTCATCCAATTCCTCAACAATTTGACTCTCATCGAATTTAGCCTGTTCCATAATCAAAGTTTCATAGAATTTTCTTTTCTTTTGTGGTACAAATCGAATAAGTTTTTTAATATCATTAATTTTAGCTTCTTTAATTTTAATTGCATTTTGATAACAATCAGCAGAAACATCTCGAAGATACCTAGATATACCAACTCTGTATAAAGAAAAATCTTTAAAGTTATCGCCAGTCATTGAATCAGAAAAGGCTGGCCTTGCATGTCTTTTAAATAAAACTCGACGACAACCTAAAATTCCCGGTATTATTTGTTTAACATTATCATTAAAATAAGTTTTATTATCTTTAACTTTCAATACTCTATCGTTACCACGTTGTTCTTCTCGCTCTTCTCCGCTCCTATCTATTTGCCCTCGTTCTATCAGGTTCTTTTCTAAAAGTACAACTTCAAATTTCTTGGCATTTCTACTGTTTAATACAAAATTGACATAACTGTCAGGTTCATAATTTTTTTCATGTTTTAATTTTTGTCTTTCTATGAGAGCAAAATCTCTATCAATGGGCATCATTGAATGCCCACGAATTGGATAGTTTACAGAAATTGTTTCAAACAAGCCTTTCGCACACAACTGATAAAAATACGTAAAAATAAATCTGTTTTTATTTTGACTGCAACAATTATCACAAAATATTTCTAAATGTGTTTGATCTGGGATTTTATGGTGTAAAAAATAATCATCCAAAGCAGTTATTACTTCATTCAGCCCTTTGTGGGCATAATTTTCCGTAAACAAGTACATAGTTGCTGAGTTTTCTTTTAAGTTATTGTAACGCTTCCCCCCTCTCATAACAATAAATATACTAAATATTAAATACTAAATATATTATATTCCCCTTTATATTAAAAATTATATATTTGTGATCAAGATAAATAAGTTTTGATCTTTATAAATGATCTTTCTAAAGGTTTAATAATAGGCCGTTTGTAATATTTTGGTGTGATCGTCTTAGTTAGGACCCTTATTTACGTTGGGTTTGTTTAGCATCTTAGTTCTTTTAGGTGTCATTTGGAAGAATGAATATTCACTAGAGCATTTGAAAGCTGTTGGTAGTGCTTTATAAGCTAAGTGAACCCCGTTCACGAAGACATGGCTCGAGAAAGGTTAAGAACATAAAACGTCCATATTCCACTTGTATCAGGTATAAATTATTAATTTATTATTATTTATCCCTTCCCGCTGGGAAAGGCTCACAATATATTTATACAAAATACCCCTTCGCTCTCCTACATTTATTTTAAAAAAATGTAGGGGAGGCACACACGCCGTGTGGGGTGAGCGCCAACCATTTTGATGCACTCGCCCCGAAGGGAACGCTAATTCGGGAACTGGACCGTATTCCACAGCAAAATAACTGGCTTGGCCCCTTGTTAGTGCGTAAGCACAAACATCGACCGAAGTCGCGCATGTCAATGCGTGTAAACTCCATACAGAATACGAACGAATCCAGCCACAGTGAATGTACGTCACACGGTTTAGGCAAGTAGGCACACTGGCCGTAAACCCTCCGTGAGCGCCACCACCTGCCAGACCGCCGCTCCTGCAGACGTGATGTAAATGTATGGCTTCACCACCAATTGCATGATCAGCACGGCTACTAGCCGCAGAGCGTGTCATGAGTCTACCGCTTACCTCAAGGGAATGGGGTCCCACGTTGTGAGGCTTTCGGCCGCAGCCTTGAGAGTCTCCTCAGATCCTCCCGCCAGCTACCACCCGCATGAGGTCGACACATACGCTCCACCAACCAATACAACGCAGATATACCCAAAAGGCAGTTATAAGATAAGAGTAATAATTCGCCATCAGAAAGGTTTTTTGTCACTGACGTTGAGTAAATGCATTTTCGATCATGTTTGTCTCACCCACCAACAAGTTGCCTTCAATCATTCAAAGGTGGGAAAGTTACAGAGATATATTATTATGTTGTTATATAAAACATCGTGGAGGGCAGACAGTCTGCAGTCCCGTAATGAAGGGACCCGACTTGGGCAAAGCTACTTAGGTGTGAGTCAAACCAAGACGCAGAGAACGCCATTGAGAATAGCGTCCCATCAAACAACCATCGCCGAGACGCAATGCTGCAGAACGCAACAAGCATCAATACGACTATCGTCGGGTTTACACCATCCCAAAGTCCCCCGTACATCCCAGCAGACATCACCACCCGCATACCTCCATGACCGACCAGAACCACAAGATAGCGTCGAATCAGGCGCAGCACACCCGCAGATCCATCACAAGACGCAATACCGCAAGTAGCAGTAAGCATCAATGCAACTATCATACGGATGGCGCCCCCTCACAATACACCCACATGATCCCTATCGACTTTGGTAACAAAGTTTGTATTGTTGTTAACTAAAAAATATCACCAACGTATCATAGTAGCACGCTACTAAGACGCCAATGAACAAAACTCCACGTATCATAGCGCTAATGCACTAAGACATGAAGTTGATTATGCCTGTTACACTTAAAAGTGCCACCACACACTCATCATCCCAATCCGAAAGATAGACGACGCATCACTATGTGCTACGACTTTGCACACAAACGGTATGGGTGTGCGATGTCCACGGGAAAACCGTATTGCTACAACAAACCCGCTTACCATCGGCACTAAGATCTTGTTAATTGTATACCTTCATCGGCCAGAACCACAAGAATGCGTCGAATCAGGCGCAGCACACCCGCAGATACATCACAAGACGCAATACCGCAAGTAGCAGTAAGCATCAATGCAACTATCATACGGGTGGCGCCCCCCTCACAACATACCCACATGATCCCTATCGACTTTGTTAACAAAGTTTGTATTGTTGTCTTGGCGCTGTCTTGCTAGCATCTAAGTAAAAAAAAGCTCCGTGTTTATAATTAATTTAAAAATAATTTTTATCGTATTTCCGAGTTAAATTTATTGTTAAACCGTGAATAGTGATCCAAAAAAAATCGGTTGTGACGTTATCAAAGACCTTAGTACTAAACTTAGTAAAAAAAAATAACAGTGTAAATAAATCAAGACTAAATCGTACACAAACTGGAACAATATCTTAAAAAAGTGTTAATTGCAGTAATAATAGATATAAACAAATAACCTTTTCGCTAAACAATATGTAAAGTGACTTTAAAACATAAAAAGTGAATAAAAAACTTCGATACAAAGTGCACATCAAGTGAAAAAAATTCCTAAATGATTAGTCATATCAACGGCTTTGCAAAATTCAAATCTCTCATACATTGACTTATGATAGACATTTTCAACAATATCCATTGTGTCTTGGTGGTCCAATGCGTAAGACAGTTACGTATATGTAGCTGCGGAATCAAGTGGTCGTGGCTTCGAACCCACGAAGCATGGTATGTATTTTTGAAGTATTTACGAAGAAAGTTAAACTGTGAATTTAAAAAAAAAAAAATATAAAAATATGGATTCAGATTCATTCGATAATGTCACATACAGGAAGCGACAAACCACTGGTTCGTTAGACTCGATAGTAGGCTTATCTATTTCGACTGATGAGCATGAGAAATCAATACTCGAAACCACTATGATGAGCTTGCCAGATAGCCTACATAACGATAGCAATAATGACATAATTAATAGTTTAAATGAAGAAATAAAAATACTTAAGATGCAACTAATGAGTGCGCATCAAGAAATAGAAAACTTGAATTGTGAGAACTTTCGATTGAAATCAGATCTACAAAAATCGTTAAAAACTGTTGAAACTTATAAAAATATCTGCGTAACCCCAGATAGAAAAAATAATACATCGTCATCATTTCGTAAAAAAAAGTACAGACAGCAGAAATTGCCTGTTACACAAGACATTGAGTTAGAAACTATAGAGGATAATAACGAAAAGAGTAACTCTAATATGTTAAATAAAGAAACACAGACTACCCTTCTCAGTATGGACGCACATACACAAACAGAACAAAATCTAAAAACATCATCAAAACAGTGCAACATTGCTAACAAAAACTTAGCAGGCACTAAATCCACATCTAAACAAAAAAAAATAAACTGTGTATAATAAGCAGCGGCTGCACAAAGGGAACTCTGCCATTAATTGAAAAAAATATTCTTGGATGATTTTGACTACTGCCATTATCTACTGCCAAATACTGCCACAAACGATTGGTTAAATAATATTGGAAATAAGCTACAAGACTTTACAATGAAAGATTACTGCTTGATTTTTTATAGGTGAAAACGATATAAAAAACAACGAGCACTTAAATATATTGGAGGACCTGAAAAAGTCATTGAAAAATGCAACTCATACAAATAGCATCATATATACACCAACCTACATAAAAGGTGCACTCATACACAATTACAGAGTCGAGCTATTCAATAATCTTCTGTGCTTAGACGTAAAGAATCAAAAATATGCCTATTTTTTTGACAGTAATTTCTCTCTGACACATGAAATGTTTTCCTATAAGACTGGAAGAATAAATAAAACCGGATGGAAGAACATCTACGAGAACATTATGTCAAATATAATGATAGATTGGGAATTATTTTCTGCCCATGACGATCAAGTAATTATCACTATGAACCAACCAAGTAGAATCAATGAATGCACGCCGCAGGAAACAGGTGAAGAAACCTTTTTTCGTGACAACTAAACACCTGCATGTTCTACATCAGAATATTGCAGGACTAATGAATAAATGTGAAGCAATCTCGGTGAGCCTTGATGATCTATTAGATGAAAATATAAATGTGGACATCTTATGTTTTACTGAACATTTTATCATGGCGGGTTATGAATCCCTCCTAAGTATTCCAAATTATCAACTAGCAGCATGTTTTGCTCGAAAGGAAAGTAAGAGAGGAGGATCATGCATACTCGTCAGAAACGGCCATCGTTTTAAGGAATTAAATCAAATTGCAAAAATATCTGTGACAGGCATGTTAGAATGTTGCGCAATTGAACTGATTGACTATAAGATAATTATAGCATGTGTATACAGGGTCCCTAAACTTAGTAATTTTAACTTATGTATAGAGAAAATACAAATAATATTGCACACACTAAGTAAGAATTGTTATGCTAATATTGTAATAGCGGGTGATTTTAACGTAGATTAATTGAAACGAAATGTACAGACTTTAGATTTTGAATGTGTCTTTATGAATTTTGGTTTGAAATTGGCAGTAAATCAACCTACTCGACTAAAAAGTCAAACATGTATTGACAACATCGCTCATAACTTTACTAAGAAATGTGTTGTCAAAGTGCGTGAATTAGGATTATCTGATCACACAGCACAAATATTCAAATTTCCTGTTCAAACAATTTTTAATAATAAATACTGGCGAGTCACTAAAAGAGACTATTGTAAGGAAAACATAAGTAAATTCAAAAGTTGTTTAAAAAGTTTATCGTTTTCGAATGTATACGAAACTTTTGATCCTAATGAAGCCTACAATATTTTTTTAGATACATTTACTCTTTACTATAAGTTATGTTTTCCCGAGGTAACTAAAATTATTAATATTGTCAAAAAACCCAAATGGATATCTCGCGGCATAAAAATATGTAGCAAAAAGAAGCGCCAATTATTATGGCAATATAGGCATAAACCAACTGAAATAAACAAAAATATTTTTACTAATTACTCTAAAAGACTAAAAATTATAATTAAGCTTACTCGGAAAGCGCAAAATAACTATACAATAAAGACCTCCGCGTGTAAATCTAAAGCAACTTGGAAGATAATTAATAGTTCAAAACTAAATTTACCCAGAGACATTATTAGAAAAATTAAAATCAACAATAATATAATCACTAAACCTAAAGACATAGCTAATGAATTTAATACATACTTTATTGAAAAAATAATCCCCATAAATAATTCTTTTAAAAATGTTACATCTTTAATAGAAAACAGATTAAACTCCTTCTTTTTAGCCCCGTGTAACCCTGCGGAAATATACAAAATAATAAACTCGCTAAGAAATACAAATAGTGTGGGTTATGATGGTCTTTCAACGAAAGTCGTCAAAGCTGTTGCTAGAGAAATTAGTGCACATTTGAGTTATATTTTAAATCTAAGCATCGATACTGGTATTTTTCCGGAGGCACTGAAAATATCGATTGTAAAGCCGATATTTAAAAAAGAAGATAAGCAACTTATGCAATACTACCGACCGATTTCTCTCATAAGTATTATCTCTAAAATATTTGAGAAACATATATATAAACAATTATATACTTATCTTGAGAAGAATAATATACTAACTCAGGAACAGAAAGGCTTTCGTAATAATAAAACAATAAATATGGCTATTTATGACTTCTTGTATAAAGTCATGATAAATGTAGACAAAAACATTCCTGTTAGCACCATATTTTGTGATATGACGCAGGCGTTTGACTACGTCTCTCATAACATTTTGATTAGGAAGTTAGAAGCTTATGGTATCCGAGGTAACGTTTCGCGTCTCATAGAATCATATATTACGAATAGAAAGCAATATACAGAAATAACATCAGTAAATACACACACCAAACATGAAGAAACTTATCGATCATCAGGTCGAGTAGTTAAATATGGTGTGCCTCAAGGCAGTGTCTTGGGACCTCTATTGTTTATTATATATATCAATGACTTACCTAAAAGCATTAACCAATACGTGACACTATTTGCCGATGACAGTACCATAACTATACCTTATAAAAATAATGATACCTATAATAATGACATTAATAATTCCCTAATATCAATGATAAAATGGCTAGAAAATAATAATTTAAAAATCAATTTGGAAAAAACTAATATTATGCACTTTACACAAAGAGGATCTACTATGTCAAACCTACATACACACTACAATAATAAAATGATTAATGAGGTAGATAATGCGAAGTTTCTTGGTGTAATTATTGACAAAAAACTCAATTGGAAAACACACACAGAAGTCTTAATAAAAAAAATCAGTAAATCTTCTTACGCACTCTATAAATTAGTACCAATGCTCAATATCGATGCCCTTCTTACAGCGTACCATGGTTTAGTTTCCTCCATTCTTAGATACGGCATTATCTTTTGGGGTAACTCTACGAATAAAGAATTAGCATTTAAAGCCCAGAAGCAATGCATAAGGACCATTTTCAAACTAAAGGTCACGGAGAGCTGTAAACCATTTTTCATACAATATAAATTATTGACATTACCCTCACTTTATATTTTGGAAAGCGCAATTTTCGTTAAGAGCAATCCTAACCTATTCCCACGCATGTCTGATACGGTCGTTCGTAATAGACGTGATAACAGTAAACTTCGTCTACATAAATCAAAAACTTCTTTAATGAATAACAGCATATTTTGCATGGGCCCAAAAATATATAATAAAATTCCTAAACGCTGGAAAGAACATAATAATAACATATTTAAAAATAAATTAAATAATTTCCTTGCAAATAAAGCCTACTACAACATTAATGACTTTCTGCAAGACAACATTGACCACTAACTGCTATAACATATAATATCTACATTTATATAAATTATTACACATTATCTTACTGCTAATTGAACATAATAAAGTAGAATTCATAAAATAACGAAAGTAATAATATACGAAATTGACTAATGTAAGAATATAACACTAAGAATTTGTACAATCATTTGGATAAATAATGGTATGTTTTAAGTACTAGTATATTTAAATATATAGATTCTCTTCTCTAATGATGTTTGTTTTCAGTCTTAATGATTATTATATAATTTATTAATACTAAATAAGGAGAAGGCCAATTAGAATTGTAACTTTTTTTTATTTATTTTTTAACATTTTGTACGCCGTAGAGGCTAAACATGACTGTCGAGACATTTCTTTTAACATCTTGCATGCATATGTATGTATACTCATGTTTAAACAAATAAAATGATCTTTATCTTTATCTTTATCTTTTGTTGTTAACTAAAAAATATCACCAACGTATCATAGTAGTACGCTACTAAGACGCCATTGAACAAAACTCCACGTCTCATAGCGCTAATGCACTAAGACATGAAGTTGAGTATGCCTGTTACACTTAAAAGTGCTACCAAACACACTCATCCTAATCCGAAAGATAGACGACGCTTCGCTATGCTTACAACGTCGCCCACAAACGGTATGGGTGTGCGATGTCCACGGAAAAGCCGTATTGCTACAACAAACCCGCTTACCACCGGCAAGATGATAATTTATGTCTAGGACACATCGGTTAGCGAGCCCAAGTTTACCTCGGACCAATTGCTCGTGAAGCAGCATACATGCCACCATAATATTCCTTTTCAAGTCCCTAATAAGGACTAGTCACTTTGCTACAGTACTAGGAGCAGTCGGTCCCCCAACCACCCCATAAAATGCTTACGCATCAAGGAAACCTTCTATAATAATACTTTTGTATCATAGACCTTACTTTCATAAGTCATTCATATATAGGGCTCGAACCCACGACCTCACTATTGCAATGCAAATTCATCATGGAGACCTTCTATAGTATTGCTTTTGTATCATTGACTTTAATATCATAAGTCCCTAATATAGGACTAATCATTGTGCTACAGTACTTCAAGCAGTCGGGCTCCCGACCACCCCATATATATGTACAACTGCAGGTATGTATCTCCGGCAGCTCCTCCATACAAGACATCTATACATGAACACCTTCCATAACTTTTCTTTTATACATGAACTCCTTCCAAGACTTAGACAATTTTTAACAAATTTTCTAATTATCTTATAAATGTTATTTATCTTTATTTTTATAATATTTTCGACTTGTATTTCTATTATTTATCTTATTTTAAATATTTTTTTCAAGTTTTTAAATAAATTTATTTATAATGAAAGACAATATTTTGCCTTTAATTTACTGTTATTGGTCTAATGTCTGATATATATTTATATTAACTTTATATTTATTAATGTGATTTTATTGCTTAATATATATATATATATATATATATATATATATATATATATATATATATATATATATATATTTTAAGACTATTTTTGATGCCC